TAATAATAGTAACAATGAATGGCTGAACCGGAACTAATGTCTGAATCCCTCTCTTACTGCCAGCACAACATGAGGTCCACCATAGCCATGACCTCCACCTCCATACACCAAGCACTCCAGCAGTGTGACGCCTAAATTAGGATGAGCCAGGCACTCACCTGAAAGATATAGCGGGCAACTTGCCCCTTGGGCGGCGACTTCCAGGCCGCTCGGCCTCCCAAGCAACTGGTATCACCTCCGTTTCGGAGGGAAACATCATTGCAGGTCTGATATCTACCGATACAGGCCCCTATAACAGCATACCAGGCCACAACCGCTAAAGGTACTGACTTTGTCTTCGTCTCAGCCCACCGCTAAAGTACTATCGGGCCCACACTAGGGACCGGGTGCGGGCCATGGAGATCCTCAGAGCAACAGCCTTGTGGGTGATATGGTACTGTCGCAATGAGATGGTGAGAAGTGGCCAACCATCCGGTGCTGCAGGCGGACTTACAGAAAGAACTGTGGAAGTGCCCACCGACCACCCCAACAGACAATATTGCCTTTTCGTGAGTATGGGGCCAGCATGCAGCCCTCGTGCAGGTGGATTCCAAGGCCTCAGATATTGGACTCTCCTTATGACCGAAGGGTTTTAGACCGGCAGTAGGGATGGGTAGGTTAATTAGGGTAGTTGGGGGTGATGGGGGAGAGAGTTGGGGGGAGAAGGGGGGGGGAGAAATGGGGGGGGGGGGAAGGGTGCGCGAGGGACGGGACACTTGTTGCATCTGAACACATGGAAGGGTTGTGCCAATGTGGGATATAACACAGATGAATGAGACAGGCAAGGGCACAATGACGCCGTGAAGCCTATGAATACAAGACTTTTATGATTTGGACGCCTGAAGATCGCTCCATGTAGTGGATGGGCTGGTATGTACATGTGGGAAATCTTGCTGCCAATATACGATGGTGCCTTGAACAAATGGGGAATTACTGCATAAAATGCGCTGATCACGATTATGATCATGATCCGATGTTTCTGCTAGTGGGGAAGGAGGATAATTCGATGTTTCTGCTAGTGGTATAGGATGTTAAATAATTACTGGTTATATCATGATTTCAAGTATTATTGGGCAACTTAAGTGCTGGGATGAACATTGATGAACATAAGGGCGGATGTTCACAATAGGGCTCCTGGTGCATTTGGGGACCATTGGGAAAGGAGGGAAGTAGGGGAGGGATGGCCAGTGGGGGGGACGGGCCAATCACTGGGTACCAGGGGGCGTCTCCCGGTTGGCCACGGCCTCTACCTTGTGATCCCTCTGGCGACTATTCACGTTCACTGGTGTTCTTTGCATCATTGTGACACGCTTGCCGGCAACAAGTAACTGGACTGGTGGCCCCCAGAAAAGAAGGGGCTGTGTCTGTGTGAAAAAAAAAGAAAAAAACTACCGCCACTTGATTGTGCCCTAAGCTATCCCTTCGAGTGTTTTTCCCCCCTGCAACCAAGTCACGGCCATAGGTATGTACCGGGCCCGACGGGCCCGCTGCAACCAAGTACCCTGGCAGGTCACACACAGACAGGCAGACATACACTCAGACAGGCACGTGGAAATCAGCAAGCACACATACACACCATACACACCATGGTAACTGCGGACCCGGACAAGCCGACACTTCCGGCCTGTCTTCTGGACTAGTGTTTGGACCGGTCCGGACCCCACCGGACACGCGGACATCACTGGACAGTTCGGATCGGTGTCAGGGGGTGCAAAATGTCCGAAAAAAAAAACAAAAAAAAATGGGGGGTTGGGTGGGTGGGTGGGGGTGATGGCAGGCACTCACCTGCTTTGCACTTTGAAGTTCAGGCAGCAGAGCACCTGTCTTGCAGCAAATCAACAAGCACATTCAACTAGCAGACATGCAGAGTTGCAAACAGTGCAAAGCAGGTGCATGACTAAAGAAACAGAGAAAAAAAAAAGAATGTCAGAGCCTTCAGACTGGCAGCACTGTGGTGCATGCCCAGTCGGGCAATGTATGTACAGCCAAGGATCCGCAAGGTGATGAAAAGAACTGAATGGACAATGCAGTGTTAGTGTAATCTCAACAAGCAGTGTACATCCTGATACATACAAAATGCCACTTTGTAGCGCAGTGGAAGACTTGGATATAAGTCCTGACCTGACCGGGACTGACACGACATCCCATCATACTTCACACATGTGAGAGGAGATTCCAAACTGTTGCATACCCTAATGGTGCAAACCAGAACAAGGACCGACCTCCCTCACATAACACAAAATAGCGCAGCGGAATGCTAGGATACCAATGATCAACGCAATCAATTTTGCAATGCAGACTAAACATACACCATCATCATTACAAGGTGTGAAGGGGCTTGGCGCTCACACAGGAAGAATGCGCCAGCCCCAAACTTCCACAGACGAAGAGGAGGGGGATTCGACAAAGATGAGGGAGAAGATGGGAATGTCGTCACACAAGTGTCCCTGGTACCGATCCCAAATAGTCCCTCGTCAATGTCTCGATCCCAAAGTCGAGTCTGTATCCCAATGTCGTCAACATCCCCAAAGTCACCAACCTCTCTCTCACTCGTAGTCTGCTGATGCCGAGAAGTCAGATAGCGAGAGGGTGAGGAAGAGATGGTGGACTGAGAGGAGGAAGAAGAAGCGAGGGGGTGTTGGCAGGCACTCACCTGCTTTGCACTTTGAAGTTCAGGCAGCAGAGCACCTATCTTGCAGCAAATCAACAAGCACATTCAACTAACAGACATGCAGAGTTGCAAACAGTGCAAAGCAGGCACATGACTAAAGAAACAGAGAAAAAAAAAGGAATGTGAGAGCCTTCAGACTGGCAGCACTGTGATACATGCCCAGTTGGGCAATGTATGTCCAACCAAGGATCCGCAAGGTGATGAAAAGGATTGAATGGACAATGCAGTGTTAGTGGAATCTCAACAAGCAGTGTGCATCCTGATACATACAAAATGGCACTTTGTAGCGCAGTGGAAGACTTGGATATAAGTCCTGACCTGACCGGGACTGACACGACATCCCATCATACTTCACACATGTGGGAGGAGGAGATACCAAACTGTTGCATACCGTAATGGTGCAAACCAGAACAAGGACCGACCTCCCTCACATAGCACAAGATAGCGCAGCGGAATGCTAGGATACCAATGATCAACCCAATCAATTTCGCAATGCAGACTAGACATACATCATCATCATTACAAGGTGTGAAGGGGCCTGGCACTCACACAGGAAGAATGCGCCAGCCCCAAACATCTACATACGAAGAGGAGGGGGATTAGACAAAGAGGAGGGAGAAGATGGGAATGTCATCACATAAGTGTCCCTGGTATCGATCCCAAATAGTCCCTCGTAAATGTCTCGATCCCAAAGTCGAGTCTGTATCCCAATGTCGTCAACATCCCCAAAGTCACCAAGCTGTCTCTCACCCGTAGTCTGCTGATGCCGAGAAGTCAGATAGCGAGAGGGTGAGGAAGAGATGGTGGATTGAGAGGAGGAAGAAGAAGCACTCTCTCTCTCTCTGTCATGTACCAGGTACTAACCTCTGAAGATGGCGCCGTGCTGCAGGTACCTCGAAGGCGAAGCTGGAGCTATAGCGCTGCAGGTAAGTCTCCCTGGCCTCCGCCAAATCTCACTCTCTCTCTCCAGTGCTACTCTAGCTCCTACTAGCGCCCAGCGCTGAAGACTATTGCTAACGCTACTACTACTACTGCAGCGCTCCTCCAGAGTGCTGCTGCCAAATCCTGACGACTACCTCCTACCTCCTGAACTGCACGTGAAGTGCCTGGGGAGTCCCCTATGAACTACCTGTAGCCTGCAGGGCGGACCAGTCTTATATAGTGTTGGCCCGTCCAGGAGGTTGCTCTTGCCAATGCCAAAACGTGTTAGACCCTGGTGTTGAAGTTCAACAAAGGTTGTCTTGAAAACAGGCCCAAAATGGCCTGTGCTAAAACCCTGGTCTGGTGCCTAAGTTTTAGGGCAGGTCGATCTTATGAGTGCCTGAAAATGGCCCTCCGTTTCAGGCTAAAAAGACTTAGGGCTTGGAGGGCCCTTTTTTAGGCTGAAACTACACAGGGCCTGTAGGCCCTTATTTTCAGGCTTTCAGGCTGAAACGAGAAAAGGCCTGTAGGCCCTTGTTTTCAGGCTTTCAGGCTGAAACGACACAGGGCCTGAAAATGGCCCTTGTTTGCAAGCGCATCATGTAACACCCCCCCCTCCTTATGAAGTCAAGCCGGGTTGAGGGCGAAGCTAACGATCTGAAGGTGGAACCTGGACGCGGGTGCGACGTGGAGCCAAAGATACCGGTTTGCCTTGCATCTTGCGTTCGTAGCGTGCGGGAACATCTGGAGCTGTTGCTTGGAGTTCCGCACGGGTCAACCAACGGTCAGCTTTGCGGGTGCAGTACGCAAAGTGTACCAAGTATTC